AACGGTTAGCCGCATGCCAGGAGGCGTCGGATGAACTTTGTTGTATTTGTGGCATTTCATCTTATTTATATGAGCTTCCCGACTATGTCGACGACTTTTGGAAGGAGATTAATGCAGTAATTGAAGAACTCGGCATCCACCGATTCCAGCCGGACAATCTCATCTTCCAGTCCGATCGCGTGGACAACTGGCATCTTAGAAAAACCCAAGAGAATATCGACCGCTTCGTTAGCTACGTAGCCTCAATCGTCAAGTTGTCCTACCATGCAAACGTCGTCGAAGCTTCCCGAGAGGGAATTGCCGCGTTGAATAGGGTGAGAAGATTCCGCCACAACTGGGAGACCGACGAGACCGTCAAGGTCCCTGAATCTTGTGTACAGCTTCTCAATGAATTTGCCGAACAACGGATGAAGCGTTTCCAACACACTTTGGGTCAGAGTAGGCAGTTTACTGTCGAAGAAATCCAAGCGTTCAGTCCTTTTGAGTCGAATGATGTGTCAATCGACGAGCTGAAGGCCTCCGTTAACCTGGAAGGCGAGGACCCACAAGATGTGTTGCAGTACGTCAACATCATCCCCACCGTGGAGCTTCCGGAGGAGAATGCTGCATTGGATGAACCAATGGATGAAGGAACAACAGCTGACGTAAATGTCGAGCCGAAAGTTGAGCAGACCGATGCAGACGTTGAAATGCCGGACAGCTATACAGGCGGAAATGTTGATGCGCCTGGGCCAGATACCAACGTAGCAGGCGTAAATGCCTTGCCAACAGCGCCAGAACAAGATCAACAAATGGCAAAGATTGAGGCCGACGTTCTTGGAGTTTTGGCAGATGATGATAAGACCAATGCAGGTTCCGGGGCGGATGTCTCAATGACCCCTGAGGCGAGCGATGAACCCGTTGCGGGCCAGTCGTCTTCTTCCGCATCAAGACCACCTTTGCCCTGACGATGACATCGATCCCGACTTGAAATATTCTGGAAAAGGGAAGGGCGTGCTCGTTCGCGAGATCAAACCCAACCCTGAGTACAAGAATATGAAAGTTGAGATCGAAGAAGTTCTCAACAAGTATCCTTGCCCGGATCACCTGTTGAAGGCCATCGGCAATGGCGGAATTCAGCTTCTTGAAGAAGAATTGGGCCGAAACGCCAAACAATATACATTGCACCATATCACCGGCCACAGACAGATATTACTACGAGTACGAGGACAACCATGGCTATCCATGGGAATGGGGTTGCTCTTGGCCGAAGCACGTACGGCGCGGAATTTCAGGCTTGTTGCGAGGTCATGTTCCTGACGTTTCAATTTACGACCCGGCGTGCTATTTACCAGTTTACAAATTATTGCAATTGGCCAAAGCAAAATTTCCGGACTACGCAGAGTCGATCAATTTGTTTGAACTTATTTCCATGGCCCTTTACGACGAGAAGGACAGAATTGAATTCCAATGCGTTTACGATTCCCGTGTGAACGAAGCCCTCGAACTTTGGGCAGCGCCAGTGAAGGTGAGATGCGGCCAAGGCCATACAGATGATGTACTTGAGACGAGGTCTAACGAAGTTCTGGCCACGGCGATCTACTGTCGTCCCGATCACACGCACCGGTATAACCGCAGGCTCACCGCACACGGGAACCGTGACATCCCACCTCGGCTTTATCACCGAACGCATGAAGACGCTGCACGTTCAATAATTGCAAATGGACTTCTTCCAGGTGGAGGTGCCGGAGGGCCAAAGAGCAAGGGTAATTCCTTCTTCTCCATCCTACCTCTGGGAGACCAGAAGGCGATGTCAGGAGTCCGTGCAAACAGGCCAGTTGAACTTTGTTTTTCGACCGCGGAGATCATCGAGGCAGGCGTCGACCTTTTCTTGACCAACTCGAATGCAATGATTACGAGTCATCATGTTCCCAACACGTGCATCCTCTTCGCCACCCGTGCCCGCGTCAATGCGGAGCCAGAAGTGTTCTACTCAAGGCCACAGGCTATGGACCCGGCGAATATGGATGTTGGAGCACCGCAAGATGACATTACTTTGATTCCAGGTGATGTTGCAGAGGCGCAACAACAGCAGGCTACAAGTGAAGCTACACCTGAAGAACGAACAGCCGCCAGCAGTGCTGCCAAGAAGGAATCTATGAAGACGAGTCGCAATACAGCTGTCCCACAGATCGAGAGTGGATATTTTCTCCACCTTCGCACTTTCAGCTGCGACAAATGCACCACGCTTTCCTTGGCCGGAATGGCATCCTGTCACAGGTGTGGAGCAGTTTTCCAAGGCAGCACGACGGATGGCCCTGTTTCAAAGTTCATGAGATTGCAGATGAGGCGTGCGAAGACCGTGCAACAACAGGGGGGTGTTCCTACCAACATGACGGCTACAAGCATGCTTGACAGCATTGCCGCACAAGACACGCAACCAGGACGTCCTCCCGCTCGTGGCAGTCCCTCGGTTGACAGTCAGATTATTCTTGCTGCTCGAGGTCGTCTTCGCAGAGCATTGAAAGAAGGGTATGAGAATGTCTATGACAGATTCAATCGCGACGATGTCTTCGCCACCTCCTTAACCGGAGAGGGATGCACCGCATTTGATGCGGCACAGGAAGACTTGTATGCGTCACTGCAACTACCAGCACCCTCACGATCCGCAAAGCAGAGATCCAAAGGGAAGTCAGTTGTCAGTGATTTGGATCGTATGGACAGAGTTGACCGCGCCAAACTCGCGTACATTCGATGCGGCGTTGACAACCTACATACCTGCTTCAAGCAAGGCCTCGACGAGAACTTTTTGATTAGCTATCGGCGTGAATTTTTGTCCCTTCGGCAATTCGCTGCCGTAATTGGCAACAGCCGAGACGAGATCCGAATACAGGGTTTTATTCCGACCGAGGACGTATACGGCGATATTCTATCCGCATACCTCGTGGAGACACGATGGGCATTTACAAGATTTTGAGCGAATTTGCGGAGCAGAATGAGAGGTACGCCAATATATAGTACCAGCGGAATGCCCGACAGTCCGCAAACATGCAAGAGCGCGACCGAGGGCAGCCGATTCAGCAAATGGGATTTATGAACGTTGAACAACGTATGGCAACGCCTATTCCGAAATTTGCGGATTGCGGACAGGACATGACTTCCTACGAAGTTCACCGGTTGGAGCAGCTTTTGTTGGAATTTGGGCAGCGAGACTCACCATCTCCACAAGTGCCTGTAACAAGGCCACCGTTGACTCGGAAGCGTTCGCAGTCGTACATCGAAGGTGTTGCTGACGCTGACAAGAGACCGAGATTGCAGTGGAGGAAGAAAGAAGATCGGGGCCAATCTGGCCGCATTGCCTCATGGGTTGATGATCGAACTCCTCCACCAGGCGTGCCTCGTCCACCTGCTCCCGTAACTGGGACGCATACATCATCAGTGTACAGGCCGCCTCACCCTCGTGATCAAGAATCAGCGTCACCAAAGGAGGACTTCCCTAAACGGAATGTCAGTGCAGATCAGGGCATTGCCGGCAAGGGCAAGGGCCAAGGCAGTTCTTCTGCAAAAGGAACGAACGCTCCCATAAAAGGGACGCCACGTGGTTCAGTTGGCCGTGCAATGTCTCTTCGTCCTGAGGACAGAGCGCCCAGTCGTGGCAACATACCAAAAGACCTGTTAGGTCCACCACTGCACACTCCACCGCCCGTTCCAACGGCAAAACCACAAATTCCAAAACCAACAAGCAACCCACCACCTGTAACGGTGAAGGCAGCTCCATCCCAGCCACCGGCAAAACCTTCTCCACCGAAGGTTCCACCTCCGAAGGTGCCTCCTCCGAAGGTTCCGCCGCCAGATATTTCCAGCGCCGCCAGCGGTATACCAGCAAACACTCGGCCGACAGATTTCAATCTGACGCCAAAGCCACCGCCGCCTACCGACCTATACAATCGGTTGCAACCTTCCGTAAAAGGAAAGGGCAAGAGCAAGCAACAGGCGAACCCACGAGGAGGACCCTATGGTTCACAACAGTGGAATTTGCAAAATGTGCCACCACCACCGTTGCCTTCAGGAGTTCCGTCGACATCGGCATCATCCTCAAATGCTCCCGTAACTGGGCAGCCAACCATGCGTGGAACGGATGATCGACCATTGGAGCCCTTTGATTTTCCTGGGGTACAATGGCAGCGCACCGACCCATGGGCCGAAAATTATTGGCCCAATCATATGGAACTTCGACAGTGGATGCAGCAGGGATGGCATGATGAAACGGAACGTTTTGGATACAGACATTATTGAGACTATGTTGAACAGCTACCGTAACTGGTATGACAAGCAGCCTATGAGTGTTGAGATGAAGATCACCTTCTGACGCGCTGTGAGATGATGTTTCACTTCATTGTCTCACTTGCCATTGCATCCTTAACCGGATTGCGCTAGTCGGAGAGTGAACTTTTAATCAATGCTCTACTTAGAACTGGGTCAAGCATGTTTAACCACATGCCGAGTGAGCGGGTAGTCGTACATTAGGGTAGCTACGTTCTCTATGTATAGTGCATGCACGAGCTTGATGAGAGATTTCTAGTATGATTCCTTCGTCGCTAGAATTCAATCCTCCCGAGATTTTCCCTACGGGTAGCTCCTTGTAAAGGGGGGTGTTGAAATTCACCTCATCCCCATGGACCCCGTAGCGTGGACTCTCAAGGTAGAGTACAAAAGGTACGCTTACCGGACTTGCAGGGTTAGCTAAGTAACTAGTAGAATCAGAGCTGATCCTGTAAAATGGCAAAGAATGTTTCATTTAGCAACCTTGCATGGTCTTTGACTTCCTGAAGCCATGAAGGATAATTCCTTGGAATTGCCTTACAACCTTGCAATTGGAATTTGAAGGTTATTGTCTTGCATCTATTCCTTGGAATTACCTTGCACCTCGAAGGAGAATTCCTTGGTGCATAACTAGTCTTTTTCCAGCCAACGAACGCGTGCCCCGAACGCGTGCCGCGTGGAGCGTACCGTACGCCGAGGCAACATCCTGGTGAACAGCCGAGGGGCCGTCAAGGATCGGGCCGGACGTTCAAAACAGGAAAGTGCTCGGCTTAAAATGCAGAAACAACTGCTTATGAAGGAACACATGTTCTTCTGGTTGCCTCTTTAGTAGGAACGGTGTGAAGAGAACCACTGCATGGTGATACATTGAGATGCAGCATCAACCACTTCCTTTCCGGAAGTTTTTTCTCCATCACCACCGTTGCTTCCCAACTCCCCGCTGGTGACTGCCTGTGTCCGACGAGCCTCGCCCCGGCGCTCGGCTAGCCTCGCCAGGTCACCGACTTCGGCATTTCGAAGAACTTGGGCGATCCCCTCACGGCGCGGAGTCCCACGGCCCGAACGACGAACGCCATTCGAACGGCACGGCACCGGCTGTTTCGGTGTTTTTGGGGGGGAAGAGAAGCGAAGTCAGGCACGGATGGAAAGAGGTGGAAAGAGGTGGCATGTGTGTGATAGACCCTACACATACTTAGATCTTCCAACTAGACTATGCAACAGCTCTGCCAAACTTGGTTGACTTTATAGATCAAAAGACCAGAAATTGCACAGTTGGAAGATCCCGTTATGCATTCTGTTATGGGGAAACTGCTCTGTTTCCTGAGGTTCTTGGAGGATCAAAACATTCCGTTCGAAGCTGTCCTTTTGCAGTCAAACCAAGCATCACCCAAGCACCCAGCACGGATCGAATGCACAGCTCAAACGGTGATGCTTCGTAAAGGGATCGAAGACATCTGAGTCTGTGAAACCCTCAAATCGTTTTCCAGCTGGGGGGAACTCAGGCGGTCTCCAGCTGGTCCAGCTCTAATCACGCCTGCCAAGCTCTTTCGGACAAAAGCAATCCCGCATCGCCTGGAAAGAAACATCCTCAGAAACCCTAAAAAGTGTGTGTTCAACATCAAGGAAACATTTTACTGTTCAAGCTATGTGTCTTATGTGTCTTGAATCTTGTCGGTTTGCTTGGTCAAATCTTTCAATCAGCTGCCCCTATAGGAACTCCCACCAGCAGCCGACCACCAGCAGCAGGTGTGCGAGACCTTCGTGGGCACTGCCACGCACATGTCTCCCGAGCGCGTCTTGGGAGAGGAGCGGGAACCAGTGGAGGCGGGAGGCGGCACCCGGCCAAAAGGGCCAAAAGGGCCAAAAGCCTTCCAAAGAACAAAGACCAGCACCCGACGCTACAGGTCACCACCTGCGGCTAAAAGAAGAGGAGACCCTGTTGGAGGCTCCTGGTAGATATCATGGTGTCATGTCAAGAACTGTGAAACACGCGGAGCAACTAGGAGCTCAACTTGATGGGCAAGGCCACACACCGGCCTCGGAAACCCGGCCCAGTCGCCGCCCGTTTTCGCGGCCCTTCTCGTTCGGTCAACGGAGGGCTGATCGATGGAGAGAGACCGCTTTTTGGACGTGCGGACGTGCCGCTGACCCAGTCGGCCGCTTCAAAAGGCTGCTTCAAAAAGCAAAAGCCACATTCATGCGAAAGACAACATGCAAGTGGGTCCACATTCATGCTTTTCTTTGGCATGGAGCGAAGGGGATTCCTGAACGAGCACTTGTTGGAGATGTCTTAGCTTTGGAATGAAAAGCTCAAAGATCCGCACGTAACGAAGCGGATGAATAGCTGTCCAAATGTCCGAAACATTCGGAACTCAAGAAGGCTGGCCACGCTGGCCATTTACTGCCAGTGGTCTTTTTTTTTATGTATTTTGTGTTTTTTGAGATGTCTGGGTCCTACTCGTGCATGGTTGCTCTATGTTGAAGACATCAAACCACGGATCCAGCTTACAAGCAATGTTGAGCTGATGACGTCAACAGGCATTTCAAAACAACGAAAAAGCATGGTTCACAAGGAGTCACATGTTCCTTGTGAGCAAAGATGGGCATCCTTTTGTCGCCCAGGAAAAAAACGCGACAAAAACATGACGAGTGGCCCTGCGCTTGAAACAACTCGTTTGTTGACCTAGACAAGCTCGTCTGGAACAACACCTGCACCAACTGAACGACGGCGGCACCAGCGCCTGTTTCGGCCAAACGCGAATGCCGAACCGGCACAGGGCCGAGATACGGTTCATAGGAGTTCCAAGCGCCGCAAGGACTATGGCTTCTCTGCAGATATATGGAGCCTTGGTTTGTGCGTGTACGAGCTGGCCTGTGGCAGGGAAGCCTGGGGCGGGAATCACATCGTTGCTTTCTGTCTTGTCTTGTGCACATGCACACTTTTCCTAACTAGCCTGACTGTCAGCTGTGAATACTTGAGTATTGTAGATTAGGTTTAATTAGGCTAGCAGTTATCAGATCGCCCGCGCAAAGCAAAAAGTTAAAGAGTATATAGGAGCCAGATGCCAGCTATGCAAGTCACCAAAATAGGTGTCAATACTTGAGGGGTTCTGTCGCAGAACATGTGGAGTTTGCCAAAACAACATGTTTCGTGCTACGTTCCCTTTCGAAGCCAAATGCGTTGCTGAGGTGTGTATCCCTACGGAAGCGTGCTCTCCTTTCCTGTCCTCTTCGACAACCTTTGCCACAAGCGCGCCGGGCCCGGTCGGGTCGTGTCGTCGTGGCCCGGGCGAGAGGAAAGAGAGAGTGAAGATGAGGGTCGCTTCCTTCTGCTTCTTTGTTAGAGGGCAAGATGCGTTAATCATCTTTAAGCCATCTTTTTGCATACCAACACACGAGATGCTTTGCTCTTGCACTGCTGAATCCAATTCAAAAAGGAACGTACTGGGCCGGACGGCTCGTCTCCGCTGGGCCGGACGGCTCCGCCGGTCCTTCACGGGGCGGCGCGCCTTCGTGGGCTGTTCGCGGGCGCCTTCGTTGGAAGCCAACATGAAAGCTGTTGACGGCCATCGAAACCACTCGTAGCGTACTAGAGGTACTAGTAGTAATGCCAGGAGCTACTAGTAGCTTCTTGTTACTAGTAGGAATGGCCTCCACCCTAGTAGCTTCTTGTTCCTATAGTAGTAATGCCCTCATGCCTTATTACTATCTTCAAAAGGAGTCATGGACGGCCATCGAAACCACTCTCGGCCATGTGAAACATTCCTAAGACACGGGACGTGGGAGACACGATGGCTTCACGGGATACGAAAGATGTGGGTGACGCTTGAAGAGACGAATATCCCACCACGTGGCACTGAACTTACCACAACCACAGAACCACATGACCAGACAGACAGACAGACAGACAGACAGACAGACAGGCAGGCAGGCAGGCAGGCAGGCAGGCAGGCAGGCAGGCAGGCAGACGTCGACACTTTTTGGCAACACACGACGTTCCCTCCTCTCTAAGACACGAAAAGCACGAAAACACGACGAAGCTCTGTGGAATGCACTCGCTCATCGACCATCTCGCCAGCGAACGAGACCCGGTGACCGATGCCGTGCGGTTCGATCGGTGGGCGGCTTGTTCTGTCGTTCGACTTGAAAGAGCGCAGCTGTCGTTTTCACCAGCTGAGCGCACAGTGCTGAGCATACTATAGCTCCTTCTAACAGACTGAGAGGCGTTGTTTTTTATGGGTGACACAGTGACACAGAGTCGTTTCGCAATGACTCTATCGAAACAACGACGTCATGCAGTCGGCTGCACGGGCGCGGCGCTTTCGAACCGGGTCCAGGCCGCCCGCGCCGCGCTTCGCGCTTCCCCAGAACGTCCGTGACGCACGACGAACATGAACTATACTCCACCACTCACCTGGTAGTCAATCCACATCCATCCACCACCAGTTCGGGGCAAAAAACCCGCCATTTTGCTGGACTCTCAGGGTTTCCGTCAAAGACAAGTGATGAACCGGGAGCAAGTGAAACATCCTACTATCATCAAAGAGAATGATATAGCAGCAATATAGCATCCGCCAAAAGCTTGCGCGGCGCCTGCCCGTTTAATGTCTCTTTCCACCAGCCAATGTTTGAGAGCGAAGCGCAGAAGTTGGTCACACGTCCTCTCCATTTTTCTGAAACACAAATGGGTAAGATGCGAATGTTGGGCGAAATACCCTTGAATCCAGGGTAACCTCACACACCACAAACCACCATAATCCACCACGGCGCATCTCGCGCCAATGAAGCTTATTCACAGATCGCCACGTGTCTTCTCCGCATGAACGCAACACTCACCACGCGCTTCACTTCGCCAGTCATCGCAGTTCTGCATCATGCGCCAACTGAGCCTCATGCCACCACGGATGAACAAACGAATCACCATGTTGGCGAAGTCATGCTGGGCTTCAGCAACGTCGCCATTTGTTACGAGACCTGCACGGAGCACCACCATGGGCGTGTTACCCCCATTGGCCCAGATTCGCCGGAGATGAGACCAAGTGATTTTCCGAAAAGCAAATCCCGGAAGTCACCGAAGAGGAGACGACGTACAAGCGAGAGAGAACTCCACACTTGTTGTATCTTGTTATATATGTTTGAGAAAACAGAGCCTGACGCCAGGCCAGAGCCACGGCTGTCGGAAGAAAAGTATTCACCAGAGCAAGGGCCCCAGCGGTGATCGTTTCAACACAACATGTGTGGAGGTTCGTGCGAGTGTGATTGGCTCCTCCAAAAAGCATCATGTTTTTGTTGGCTCTTGTGCATATGGTTGCTCCGTCTTGGAACCTCGCTTCGCAGTAGATTGGTTCGGGAGGTCGAGCACTCAAGAGTCTTTGGGCCACAGACAAGTAGTAGGGGCCACTGCCTGGTTGGATATATTTTGCCCGGTTGGGTGTACTCTGGATGAATCCAAATGACAGACATCAACCAAGGTGTTCGCATGTTTGGAGTGAACAAGCATGGCAGCGAACGATGAACCAGGGTTTGCTGTGTTCTTCTTCAAGAAGTTCCAGTGAAAATCTTTGGGGTGTGTCTTCTGTAGAAATTCGTGCACTCAATCATATTGTGAAGACTCAAAAGATATGGATGATTCACAGTGGATCCACAGCACCATGGATGGTGCACCCCACGAACCAGTCAGTGGATCCCACGAACCGATATGGTCCGGACCGGAGGTCTTGGGGAGCGGACCGGAGTCGAATAGACATACTGGCGGCCTCCAAGCTCTGGATGTCCTCGTTTTGGGTTGGTGTTCCAGTCAATCTGTAGAGCCAGTTCAGGTTACACAAGAACATCTCAACACTTTTTGCAAGGATTCCGCAACTAGGATTCCGAAAGAATGATTCCGCAACAGTTGGAGCAGCAACCGCAGGCCCAAAGCATCCAAGCAAAAGAAGCAAACTGGGGTGGGGTGGTGGGTGGGAATCTCAGTTTCAGCACCTCAGTTGCAGAATCTGACGTAGTTTCCAGTTTCAGAATCCGTCCGATTAGCTTCCGAATCTGGCGCTAACCAGATTTGCACCAGGTCCACATGTGGATTCGCATGGCCTTGTCAACGCAGAGGTTCAACGACCCCAAAATGATAGACCACCTGCCACCACGTACGACCACTTCGCATAGTCTCCTTACACTTTGGACTCACAGTCCATGGGAAAATGGAGTTCACCCCGTGTTTCTAGTTCCCATCCCAGCACATCCAGGCAGTGGGATGGGAGTCCCAGTGGCTCCAGTTCGACGACCAAACCAGTTCGACCGGTTCCGAGGGCCATAGTTCCTACAGTAGTGGTTTGCCGGAAGGATACACATCTGTCATCCCATGCCATGCCTGATCCACTGTCTGTCACTGTTTGTCGTGCTCGTGCTCTCTTCGTGCTTAGACTCTCTCCGATCAGTTGGTCTTGACAGGCTTTGCTATTTCGTGGAAGCCCAGCTGTTGGGACCCGGCACGCTTACGAAGCAACGAACGTCGTACCGCACGGCCGTACCGCACGGCCGTACCGCGTCGCGTGGCGTCCACAAAACGTCCGTTGCGACGTGGTCGGCGGTAGAAGCGTCGTTCCGGAGCTTCGGAGGGGTGTTGATAGACGGTGGGATGAGTCCTGGTGGTGGTGGGATAGACGGATGTTTTTACCGAAGTGATATAGGCGCGAGCCCCATTGTTGGATATGTTCATTGGTACAACTCTTGAAGCTTCCATTGATTCGCAACTCGGGGGCGGCATTTTAGTGTGGTGCAGATGTGGACACATGCATCCTCTACCGGATGGTTGCTTACGTAGCTATATAGCTTATGTTGGTATAGTTATGTTGGTGCCAACAGCTTGCATGATTGCCAAAAGATATTTAAATGGTGTTTCTGCAGGTGTTTTGCCTACAAGAACGATGAGCTTCCACGGACCGCGTGCTTACGGTTCGACGTGTTCCATACCAACCGTTGACGTGTTACGGGTGCCAACGGCCAAGCTTCCCGTGTGCGACCGGGGGTTTCGAACGGCCAGGCAAAAGCGGCCGGAGCTGCGGTTTAGCGCCATCGAGTTACAGGCCGAGACGTGCGGAGAAATCCTCCTTCCTTCGGAGAAATCGGGCGGGAGGTTTTGTGAGGTATTTTTTAATGGTTTTTTCCGGAGAGCGTGGGAAGGTTTCGGCTTCACCGGTTCAGTAAATCTGCAGTTTTTTCGTCCGGTTTGGAGAGGAAGTGGAAGAGAACTGGGCCACTTTCCACCGCTTTTGGGGTGATGGTTTGATGAGAGAAACCACTCACTAGTATTCCTTCTAAAGATGTTCTTGTAGATTCTTACTACATTATTGGCCTTTGGAGCTGAGCAGACTCTTGGCAAGCTGGTTTGTGGCACCCTGTTCCGAACAAACGAAACCCAAAGGCTCACTCCTTTTTGCTCCGCCACAATAGAACGTGTGCTACAAGTTCTCAACAGCCGAAAGAAACACTTGGGGTCACGAATCATGCGCTGTCGGAAGCAGTTCGCAAAGTCTCATCCTGGACCATGCCGAATGCTGGTGATGATTGGTGATGTGTTTTAGGTGTTCATACTTTCGGCACATGCTCGCGTCCTTGGTGAGGTAGCCCATATTATGGGTGGAGAAAAACGTGTTCATCATGCAGTCCACTGTCCAACCCTTCGAAACTCAACACGAATCACGGCGAGGCGGTGGAGTGAAACCCATCACCTGTTGCTTCAACGCTCATCGCAGCGTCACCGACTCCTCCGGGAGCACACACAACGAGAATTCACGTCGGCCTTCGTGTAGAACCATCCACTGCCACTTCCCATCGCACGTCCCGCTTTGCATCCACTGTCCATCCATTCCAAACGTCCTGAGCGGGTGAAGCGAGGCATCTGACTTCATCCTGGGCAACTTGCTTGGCCCTTGTGACTTCGTTCCGCGGCGAGGACGGCAACGAAGAGGCGGTTGGTTGAAAAAAAGAAGGCGTCATCGGCTGTTGGAACCTCTGACACACTGAAGTCACTGGTTGATTGTTAATGTCAATGCATGTTGGATTTCGAGTTGTAGATCAGCGCCACATGGATTTTCACCCAAAGACAGCAAGTGGCGCTTTTGCCACATGATTTGGTCGTCCGATCTTCCCAACGTCCGGGTCAGATGACTTTGACGTTTTAACACACGGCTGTCCGTCGGTTCGTCCCTTCGCTGGTGTGGATGACGGTCCTGAAGCCTTCAAAGACCATTCAAGGTCTAATCTGCGTTAGCCTCCACCCTAGCAATGGCCTCCACCCTAATAGCCTTGGTCCCCAAATCGGTCCCTAACCTTCCGGCCCCGTTCCGCCCACACGATGGGCTTCGGCGTGGGAACCACCGGGGGTGGTGGTAGGCCGGTCCGGACCCCCCGGTCCGGCTCCGATCCCAAGGCCCAAAGTCAGTGAGACGGCGCTGATCCATTGGCCGCTGGGTTGGGTGAAGACGGACCGGACCCGATCCCGGTTCTGCGGACGGCGTTTGTTCAACAGAGGAGGAACAGGTGATTCTGAGGTTCGGAGGGGCTACCGGGGGGGGTGTTGAGTTCGGTGATTTCTGCATCATTCGGACGCCTTCGGTTCGCCAAGGTTGGTTCACCAGGAATTTTTCACGCAAGCCACTGTCGGGGAGGTTTGGAGAGATTTCTCGACGTCGGATTTGGATTGGTAGCAAGTGTTGTTGCAGCTGGTTGTCGATTATGAATGGTCATCCTGAAGTGGTGGCGTTTGTTGTCACGATTGGCGCTCGTGCCGGGGGTGCCGGTATTTGTGGTTGGAGCATCTTCCAATGAACGCTGCCCGTCATGCTTTGGGCTATTTTTTGCTACTTGGTTTCACTTATGCTTTGTAGGAGGCCTTCGCCCCACCGTTCATGCCAAAAAAAATGTCCAGAATTGGATCGATCCTGATTGACCCTCCGTTTTTGAGCCGCCGATCTTTTTCAAGATCGGAGGCCCAAAAAAAGTCTCTGGAGTGAAGTAATGATTTGAAAGAATTGTTTCTTCTCACAGAAGAAATCAATCATTGGTCAAACCGGGAAAAATATATACGATTTTCCAGAAGGGGATTTACCCAAAAGGAAAACAACAAGTATCCTTAAGCAGAACCCGGCTATTGAGTTCCGTTTGCTGTTACATTAGAGGCCATCGCTCTTTGGTTCGCTCTTAGATTCCTTTCCTTTTGCTGTTAGGTGGAGGCAAGAACCGGTCCGTCGCTTCAAACGCCGCTCGTTTTGTCGGGATCTTCCCTTTGTGGACGGCTCGGTCGTTGACGGAGCTCCCCAAAACCGGAGTTCGGTTCCCGCAGATGGTGGGGTTCCTTCCCGGCTTTCTCGGACCGTTTGGCCGCGGTTGGACAGCTGGGAGGATCAGAACGATTGAGGAACCAGTTAGACATCAGTCGCTCCAAGCCTCGCTGTATTGAGGCTAGCCAACGCCATGAAACACCATAAATAAACATAAATAAATAAATAAATAAACAAATAAATAAATAAATATATTATATATATATATGTTCAAATTGTATGGAGATAGATTAACCATGTACATATTTCAATGAGTATTATCAAATATATTACTATATATAATATATTTATAAAAATTAAAATGATTCTGGAATTATATGCGGTTTAGGTGTAGGTAAGATGTTAATATGATTGGAAGATAAATGTTTGGAATATTAGTCGATTGTTTGGATGTTTCGTCTTTATGTAGATTAAAGGGAGGTGATTTAAAAAGAATTTGACGAAAATTGAAATGAATAGGTGTATTTTTCGATTCGCGCGGTATTCGTGTTAGACTCGAAAAAATCGTACGATATTTGTATTGATATAGTTATATGTTTGACGAAAAATGGTTTTAATATGATTTATTTTTATATTAAATAAATTTAGGTTAAACCGATGATTGTTGAAATTATTGATATGAATTACGGTTAAAATATGCGAAGACCACTTTAGTAAAGAGGGGTAGATTTGTAACGATGAGGTTTACCTCAAAACCGATGACGTGCATTTTTTAGTTGAAGAAGAATAAGGAATTTTGATCGTCCCTTACTTATATATTTAAATTCGTTTTTAATCGGACTAAAGCAAATAGAACAATATTTACGGGATTAATTTTTGCGATGGTTTTGATTTTATATGTTGATTGGGAATTTATTATTAAAATCGTGTAAAATTTAACATTTATATATAGGGACAATTAATTTTTGATATTTAGATAAAACGGATTAATTTTCATTTATATTGCGTTTATATGCGGCCGGGTGTAAATTCGGTTGATTAAATCCTAGCGTTAGTAGGTGTGATAGTTGATATGTTTTTGGTAAGGGGTTTGATGATTTTGAAGGGGTCGGATGTATATTTTGTCGTTTTTTCTCGATTGTTTTTTGTATGGGCGCGATAATTGGTTGTATATTTCGATATTTATCGTTTTGTCGATGATTTGTATGGGAGATGTTATAGTGGATGATTTGTTTTGTTTCGTGTTAAAGTGGTGAATATGGATATTATGTTTTTCGTAATTTGATTTGTTTAATGATGATATTAAAAAATATTTTAATTCGATTGTATTGATTGTAAATTTGAATAAAATATTGTTTGTTTGATGTTAATTTCGATAATAAATTGTATTTTAATGATTCGGAATGATAAAGAATTAATTATTATTGCTTATTAATTTGGAAAAAAATAATAATAATATATGGGATTGTTCGATTTTATGAAGCATTGAAGGAGATAAATTTTATATTGTATGGTTATATATTTTTGTTGTTGGTGAGTCGGATCGTAATGATGATAGTGTAGGATGAGATTGGTATATATTATTATTTTATGGTAGATATGTCGAATATAAAATTTATAATAAGGATTTTATTAAAGATGTTTTTTAATATAATTTATTTTATTATTTTGCAATTCCGTTAGTAAATCTTTCTGGTCGTTTTTTTTCTTCTTTCGTTTTGTGTTTTTAGATGGGTAATTTTTTATTATTATAATTATATTGATATTCGATTTGAATTATTTGGTTGATTTGGGTATTCCGAATTAAAATATAGATGGGAATGATTTGATCGAAATAATTTTATTGATATAAAGTATAAAATGAGAAAATACTATGGGATTTGGTTGTCGCCGCTATAGCGTAGCGTTGCGAGCAAAGCCAAGCGGTGGCGATTGAACGATTTATTTTTGGATGGAAACTAAATTAGACCGACCATGTTCCTTTTGCTTTTGTGTGTATTTCTATCGTGGATGTTAGTCCCGGGCAAATTATAACGGTTTCTTCGGGAAACCAATTATTACGAGGGAATTTGTTCTTGCATTTATTGACATTTTTCGAATTTCGATAATGCGCTAACGGTCGCCACTTTCTTTTTGGTCTATCTGGCAAGTGGATGTGGTGTTGTTTCCTTTATTGTAATTATTCTTATATCTTCCTCTAGGTACCGTTGTTTCTAAGTAGTTGGGGCAATCTCTGCATCTATCTGGTAGGTCGGCCTAGTGAGTATCACTACCAAATTCTTATATTCGGGCCATTCTACCTCCATTTCTTCTTTATCTTGTTGCTAGGCCTCCGGGTTTGTGTAGGTAGTCCGGCGGACGTGAGCCGAGTAGGTTGTATATTTTCTTAGTATATTTAATCTGTCGGATTCTGGTAGCTTAAGCAATTCTTTTAAAGGTATGAATTGATGATAATATTGGGTGAAGAGCTGGAAGTGGCCGTGCAACGTACCGCTTTTCTGACACTTTATTGAATCGTAAACCACATCTACCCGTCCGAAGACCTTCCTCGGGCTGTTGCATTGTTACCAAAGTTATTCATGCACGGCTCATCGGTAGCATTGCAATCTGGGATAACGTCGCACGTCGAGCGAATGTTTCAAGGCGAGCAAAATTAAAGTGCGAAATCCATCTGCGCAAACCAGTGGATCTCTAGACAGAATCGCTCGCCGGTCTTCGTAGCTTGGCAGTTCCTAAAGAGTACGGCGCACGTTTCTTGATATACAAATAATCATTAGTGCACAGTATGGTGAGGTACGTATGCAAATATCAAAAGAAATTATGGATGGATTGTCGTTCTATATCGAATTTATCATCTGTAAATTGGGATAATTGCTATTTATAAATGTCTATATAAATTTTGCCCAATTGACGAATTTTGAATATGTATTATTATATATGCAACATGTGTTTTTGGCATTGCCGGGTCTCTGAAGCTGATTAATTAGGATCCAAACGGATGAAATCAACGTCCAATTGAGGCTTGTTTTTACATTGAATTATTTCGTTATGAATAAGAGCCGGATCTTCTTCTCGAATTCGTGCCAATCGCAGCATCAAGACTATATCCCTCTCCGATGGAGAAAATATCAAGAACATGGAAGTGCCATAACATACCTTGGAGCGCCCATGACGACGATTTTCTTCTCAATCTTAAATGCAATGAACGATTACGACCCAGCTAGCAATACGTTGCTCGGAAAATGTAACGACCATTTTCTCAAATATAAGTATATTGGACTAACCTTCTGGAAATTCAACGCATTGTTGTTCCCGATCCAGCTCCTTCGACCTGAAGATTTGATACTGAGACTTTGGCATCAAAATTGATTGCGACCCTCTTGCATAACGGGGACCCGTGGCCGGAAGAATGCAGGCACAAACAAATGGATCGACGCAGCTATTTCAAGAAGCAGCTGACAGATTGCCCCTTCTGGATTGCCTACGGAGCTCGAGGTATGACGCCTTCGTTGCATCGGCTCTCTGCCTACGAGTTTCATCGTCATTACGTTTTCCATATGGTCAAGTACCCGCGCAGCAAATCTGGGCACAAACAAGCCTTATTGAGTGGCGACGAGTACCAAACTCGACTGACAGAAGCCAGCCTCAATAAAGTGGATGCGTGTCGCGGTGTGCCCACCCTGATCGCGGGTCTCGATTATCAGATCATCGAGGAGGGTGACGAATGGTGGCACCCATTGGGCACAGGTGAAAAAGTTCAAGAATACCGATATGATTGGGTGATCGGGCCCCGCTTGCGGCCTTATGTGCCGGTTGTTTACGGCGCCCAAGGCAACAACACGGAAGAAGAGCAAGCCTTGCGCATATTCTGCCTTTTCTTCCCTTGGGTCAACGACTTCACCGAAATTAGGTTGTTGGTACCTTACAATGGCCACTTTCGCGAGCCGGGCATGACCAGCTGGCTGAATTGATATAATTTAAGATTTGTTAATTTTAATATATTTCGATTGATGTGAAATTATACTATCTATATTATTAATATATGTTTTTATATAATCATTTAGTTAAATAACAATATTGTACAAATGTTTGAAATTTAAAAAAATAACGATAGAATGGAAATAATTTGTTATTATTGAAGATATATTATATAATATCGTTTCGGTTCTTTTTGAAGCTTGGCATTAATGGATCGTTAGTTTTGTTAATCACTATGCAGATTTGCAAAGGATAATAGACGATTAATTGCATTCGGATTTGTTGACGGCTTGTAGAAATCTTTTTTTAAGCGTCCACGCACTAATTCTCCATCTAGTGCCCGCAGGACAAATAGGAAACATTCCGATTCTTCCGATTCTTTGGCTACAATTAAATTCATTTATGAAATATGGGATGCATGGGGATATACCTCTTGCTCGTTTGATCGAATGGCGCAAGAGAATTTGCAGGATGATGCAGGGAAATCCTATTTTTAAAAAATATTCATGGTTCATCCCCTACCCTTCCATGGATGGGCATCACGTTTCGCGTCGAGCATTGAAAATCGCAACACTTTGATTGCACCGATTGTTCTTCAACATTTGCCGCATAATAGCATACCCCTCCAAATCTTCGCTGAGATTTAGCATAACAATGCCCCATTCAAGATCCCCTTCTATCCAGCCAATTCGCAATTGGAGAGATACCATGATCTAGATTATAAGAACCCATATGCAATAACCTGGCCACGAATTCAGGTCACCTTGTTCAAATTTATTTATATCTTCGATAGGCACGATTATCATTTGGGAATATAATGTAGTTGCAAGAATCCTTCACCTTAGAAAGCGTTTCATGGAGGCTCATTGCCATATTATGTTCTTCCATTTTTTAAACATAATATCTATCTTTTGTGGTTTATACCGATAATATCACCTCATTTTGTAGTATCCTAGTGTTTTTAACCCCCCTATTTCTTAGCGTAAAATTAAAATTTCAATTAAATAGATAAAGGCTAGCTCCCGCGGCCCAACACGGACGAATCATTAGTTCGCTAAATACTAAATAAATAAATTATATTTATATTTTAGTAATAAATAAATTATAGCTTATTAATTAAATTAACAATATATTATAATGTAATATTAATATATTATTATTTATATCTTGTAAATATTCTATAAATAAAATAAAATATCTAAAATATATAAAAATCATTTAATTAAATTTATTTAATTAATTTTAATAAAAAATTATAAAATATATTTATTTTAAATTATCGAATATATCGAATTCCAAATATATAACCGAAATGTTTAAAAATCATAATTTCGCTAACAAATAAAAATAACAACGAATATTTATATTTCCAGAATTAATTACGCATACCTATTATATATTCAATCGATTAACATTATATATTAAAATATTATTTTAAAAATATATCAATGTTAATTATATATAATTTCCATAATTAAATATATTAAATTAATATATATATATTTATATTAATATATTTAAAAAATATAGATATAAATAATATAAAATATATAATCCAATATTAATTTCGAAATATATTATTCAAAAAAGAATTATAAAATAAATATATTAAATATCAATATAGTAATTTTCATTCCTTTAATATAAAATTAATATTGTTCAATTATATCCCGAATAATGGTTTATATCGAATTATGTTGATATTAATTTTATCAAAAATAATCAAAGATATAAAATATAATATATATATATATATTTAATTATATATCATAAAAATATAATAGATTTGATATAATTTAATATCGTCTTCAAATTCTCCCAAATACAAAATAATTCTTATCATCCAATCATTATCGAAAAATATCCTTTATTCATTGATTTATATTCGGATGAGATCGTGGAAATCAATGAGGCATGGAGAGCAGCATGGCGGAGTGTTTCGGCCCATTGCCGAGAAGGGCTTCGATTGGGCAGAGTTTGCCCAAAGCGAAAAGGTATGCTCTTGAAATGGAGCCCGGAGCCAGACGTTTGATGAAGCTGTGGTCCCCACGGTTTGCGCCTTGCTTCACCATTTCCCACATGTATGGGACATGGTATCAACGCCAATTGGTTTGTTCGTTCCTTTTCGGGGCCCTGGAAGACGTCTCGGGCTGGAAGACGTGACAAAGCGAGGCCAGATATGTTGACTCTCTCATGACCTGTCTGTTGTGAATGTCCCACATGCGTGTGGCACAAGAGTATCCTCTTGGAAGAGTATCGCACAACAGGCGTGTCCAGCTGAAGTGTCGCACAGACACTGCAGCGTGTCTCACAAAAGTGTCATAGAAGAGCATCACCCCAGAATCTTCTTCGTGAGCGGTCTTTGAAGAGTGTCGAGCACGCATGTCGTTGTACGAGGGGCTCGTGGGTTCTGGATGTCCAGATTGGTGCTAGGGAAATATTGGATGTCATCGTGAAATTGAGATCTGTGTGACTTTGGGCAAACACTACACAGCAAGGCGTGGAACAATGACTACAGCAAGGCTGCGCGGCTGTGCGTGGGTGTTTGAAGCCTATGTTCGAGCACCAATCACACAAATTAAACATATTCACAAGTGACCATATCCACCACTGACACAGCAATCGCCATCAACCACGGAAGGAAACAAGAACGGTCGCAATGCTGAGGCCGCTTGGAGAGACCGGACTTTTGCTAAATCCATCTCACGCACTACTTGCGTTTGCAAAAGCTGCAAGAGAGGTATCACAGTCCGGATTGCGCTTGTGCCTGAGCTGCTTAAGCAAACTTGAAATCCATCATTGAAGCTTGATAAATGAAATCTTTCATTCCTAAGATCTGCTACCCAAGGTGCGGTCAATCAAAATCTCAAGAGTCACAGCTGTAGCCTGCAAGGTGGCGCGGTGACAAAACTTGTCCTTTTGCAAGGACGCATCAACCTTCTCCATTCAACAGGCGTGCTCAACTATATAACTGTTTCTTCAGCCATGCATCAGGCACTGCAAAGTTCAGAAGCAATGCGCCCAACACTTGCCACTTGTCTTCTGGAATCGCTTCCAAAACCGAATTGCAGGTGATGATGTCCTCAGCTGCACAACCTCGAGCCGCTCGAGCCTTCACAGCTGTGTTTTGGAAAGGTGTGTCTTTGGAGTCTTTACTCGGTGGTTGCGCTTCTAACACAGCTGGGGCGCACTTGGCAAAGTCTTGGTGGCCATCAAAAGCTGCAAAGACAAGGAGACGGGCCAATGTTCATGAGCTCGGATGGCAGAATTGAAAGTAATCACATCCTTGGCCGCTTCTGGTGCTTCAGAAAACGTCAAACGTCAAACGGTTGAAAAGAATCTTGTCACATCCTCACCCTAAACGATCCCAAATTCCATGCCAAGAAACTGATTCCAACTTGTGAAGGTGCATGTCTTCGAAAAGAGAGTGAATTGTTTGCCAGGAACTTCTGGATTGGCAGGCCGCAGTGAGCCCGTTGAATGTAACAACCTCTACAGGTTTTCAAGGTGTCCAACCAGCAAAGCAACCAGCACCAGCAAAGCTGTCCTTGCATTCAAGGCACGTCTGCTTGTAGACCCATCTGCCGCACAGCTGACAGCACAATCAAGGCTTGCTGCCACTGCGAGCTTTTTTCACATGCGCTAATGACCTTGCAAAATCAACTGTATTCTATGCGCCGGGATTGATTAGCTGCTGCTCTATACAGGTGATTCTATAGGTGTAGTTGAGAAGCAGCGTTGCACCCGGTGATTTCAGGAGCCAATTTCTCTTGCTGCATGGCCTGCACAGGAGGTTCGTAGCGAGAACCTGACTTGACTGCCACGGAGTGCCACGCCTTCAACAACTCCAGAGCCTGCAGAGCAACCGAGTTTCTTTCGATCGTGATAGCAAAGCTATGCAAAGCTTAACGAAACCTAAAGCAATGGCCTCCACCCTACCAACGATGGCCTCCAACCTAAGAGCGATGGCCTCCAACCTAAGAGCGATG